GGGGGGTGCGGGGGCAGGCGGAGGGTGCAGGAGGCAGGCGGAGGGGGGTGCAGGGGCAGGCGGAGGGGTAAGCCAGGCCGAGGGGAGGGTACACACTGGGGCCTGTGGGAGGGAGGGAAGGAGCTTTCAGTGGGACGCGGTGAGGTGACAGGAATCAGGCAGGGGCCTGCGGGGCTTTTCCACCGAGGAGCACCGCACCCGGCTGTGCAGCTGACCCCGTGCCAGGTGCGGTGGCCAGCTCTCCCCAGCCCTGGGTCCCTGCACTCTCCTCGGCCCAGGACCCTCCAAGAACAGCCCCCCGACCCCCCGCAGCCGAATGAGCTGCCCAGCTTCCAGCGAAGGTGCAGAAAGCCACCAGGAGATGCCCTGCCTCCCCCCTGGGCCGGGGTGGCCGAGGCAGCAGGGGTAGGAGCTGCCCAGCGAGGAGGTCCCTGGGGTCAGAGTCAGCCGCCGGGCACGGCGGGTGCCAACAGTGCAGCGGCACTCACTTGTCACCTCCCTGCTGAGTCCTTTGGTTCTCGGGTCCTCTGGCTCCAGTGCCCTGCTGCCCTGGGCACCAGCACGTCTGTGGGCTTCAAGGCCACTCCAGCCTGGCTGGGCGTCCCCAACACATGGCCCTCATGAATGAAGCCTCCGTGGGGGGCTGGGGTTTGATTTATGAATCAAAAAATGATCCACAAACTTTTGTTGAAATGAGACCCCATGAAAAGAAGGCCACTTCCTGAACCTGCAGCTTGGGCCTTGCTGATGCACTCGCTCTCCAATGAGTGAGAAGAAAAGTCCTCATTAGGACCAGGCGGGCTCTACATGATCCCCCACAACACACACACACACACACACACACACACACACACACACACACACCAACCTCTCTTGCTCATTCTCCCTGCTCCTTCCTTCCCTTCTGGCCACATTTGTCTCAACAGTGCTCAAGCCCAGCAGAGTCCTTCCCACCTCAGGGCCTTTGCACTTCCTGTGCCCTGCCTGGGACACTGCCTCCAGGTATTCCATCAGTCGCTCCTTCTCTTCCTCCAATTTCTGCTCAGATGTCACCTTTCAGAGACCACATGGAGGACTGGAGCCTCCTGTGGTTCTCTCCCCTCCCCCCACAGCCTGCTCTGCTTTTCCCTGCCCTCCCACGTGGAAGGTTTTTCTGTGTTCATGTGTTTCCCTGGTCTCCCCCAGGAGGAAGGGAGTGGCGGTAAGGCGGGGGCTGTGCCCACTCTGCTTACTGCTATTTCCCCATCCACATAGAGATGCTCAGCAATATTTACTAATTAATGAATGAACGGGGTTCATAAATGAGCCTCTGTGTGGCTGACTTGTCAGTAGTCACAGAGTAGCAAGCCCCAGTCCTCAACCTGGAAGGACTCTGGACTCCCAGGTGCCTCCTCCTGCCATCTCTGTGGCCACGGATGCCTGGGTCTTCCTGTTGGGAGTCCATCCTGGGAGGACAGGAGGCCATGTGGTCACTGAAGGGCATCCCGGGGAGTGGGTGGGGGCCTCAGAGGTGAGCAGGGCTGAGCTCCAGATCCAGGGCCCTGCGTGAGATCGCCAGGCAGCAGGCCCTGGTGCCCAGCTCTGCGCTTGCTCCCGTGGGCTCCAGCCACAGGAAAAAACAGGTTGCCACAGCTGTGGCCAGGAGACCGGCTGCCCTGCCCCAGCAGGGGGCTTCCCTCCTCTGCTTCCCGGAGGAGGAGGTGGGGCGGGCACGCAGGGGCGATATGGGACATGAGGGACTGGGCTCCCAGCTCAGCCACCCTCTGGGGCTAGTCCCTTCCCTTCCCTGAGCCTCAGACTCCGTCCCTGGCAGGTGACATAGCAGACCCAGATCCCAAGTGTCCAACCTGTCCCAGCAGCCTTGTGGTCCCTCTGGAGACGAGGTGAGGGGAACGAGGGGACCCAGGTAGGGTTGGAGTCCCCTCCCCCAAATGCTCGTTTCCATCAAAACCCACCCACCTTTGCCATTTTACTCCGCCTGGCTCAGCCCTGGTGAGCTGTGAGGCCGGGAGCAAGCATCCCACCTCCGGGCCTCTGTTTCCTCCCCTGTGAAACGGGCACCACCACTCAGAACAGAGGACCCTCCACACCTGTGGCTTCCACCAACCAGACTGAAAACAACCCGGAAGAAACCGCCCTGCGCTGGGCAGGCCCACCTCTCTCCTCCATGTCCCTCCCTGATCACACACGGCCGAGTCCCGTCCACAGGGCGCTCCCGCTGGCTGGGGTGTCGAAGCGCCTAGAGATGATTTAACGATTACAGGAGGTGCACGTAGGAGAGATGCCACTTCTCATAAAGGGACTCGCGTGTCCTCAGGGCTTGGGGGTTCCCAGGATCGAGGCCCCACTGACCCCGAGGGACAACTGTCCACATTCTCCCCTCCCAGGGTTGTTGTGAGGAGGGAACTGAAATGTGAACCGATACCCACAGCACAGGTGCATGGCTCTGTGTTTCTTTAGGTGGTGCAGGGGATGGGGCCTGGGGGTGCTAGGCAAGCGCCCTGCCACCGAGTCACCCAGCCCCGTGCTCATCACTGCCCTCTTCTTTGGAATAAAGCTTTCCTCTTCGTAAATCGGAACGCTCTGGAGCTTAAAAAGTCCCTCTGGCTTTGGCATTTCACCGTCCCAAACCCTGAAACGTTAAGATTCTAAAATTCTAGGCTGGGCGGCCGGGGCTGTGGCTCAGCGGCAGAGCGCTTGCCTAGCATGCCCGAGGCACTGGGTTTGAGGCACTGGGTTCCATGCCTGGCACCACATGAAAACAAACTAATGTATCCACCTAAAACTAAAGATACATAAATAAATAAATATAAAAAAAATCTAGGCTGTGACTCCCACCAGTCAAAGGAGCCTGGCTGAGGCTGGGATGTGGCCGGGTGACAGAGTGCGCTTGCCTAGAGTGCACGAGGCCCTGAACTTGATCCCCAGCACTGCAAAGGGGAGGGGGGAGAGAGGCTGGGAGGCTGAGAGGCTGGGAGGCTGGGAGGCTGGGAGGCTGGGAGGCTGGGAGGCTGGGAGGCTGGCTAAAGGAGGGAATGACAAAGTCAGAATAACACAGAGCCAGGAGCCAGGCTTCAGGACAGAGCCAGCCAGGGTTCTTATCATCACCATCATTATCAGCGTCACCTCCTCCCTCCTTGCTCCAGACATCAGGCAGGTTACAAGAGGCAGGCCAGGGAGCGGGAGAACGTGAGCTAAGCACACGCGGACGGACGTGCTCGGGTAGACACCGCCTCCCTGCAGCGGTGAGCTGACTGCACAGGGAGCACGTGCGAGGCCGGGGGACCTGGGAAAGGCACAGCTCTGCAGGCGCGGAGCTTTCCAGTGGCCTGTGGGAAGAAGGCAACCGAACCTGTTCTCAGCTGCTTGTGGCCTTGCTGAGAAGCTGCACAGCTGCTCCTGATGGGGGAGCAGGGCACGCCCAGGTGGCTCTGGCCCTCCTCTGCCTTGCGAGGGAGGCCCGGCCAGGGGCAGAGACTGCGGTGATCAACATGGGATCCAATCCTGGAGGCTGGAACCCTCCGGGGAGAGCCTCCCGGCCACACCCCAGCATCCTGGGTCTGGGCGGGATTACCCACAAATGCAGCCAGTGCCCAAAATAGCCAGGGCAGGGGACGGTGCCAGGAGGCCCCAGGCAGGACCTGGCCAGGCCTGTCCACAGGAGGGCCCACTGGGCCAACGCACGCACACTCGGGGCACAAAGGGGCGCCACCACCGGGCACACAGCCCTCCAGGGGAGTCCCCCACCCACCCGCTCCCCGCAGCGCACGTTGCTCACGCAGGGCAGAGCCAGGCTGCCGCCCGCAGGCCCCATCAGGCGGCCTCCTCAGGAGCCAGAAAGAAAGGCCTTCCCAGAAGGCCACCCATGCCATATAGGGAAGAGCCCAGACCCGGCTCCCTCCTCAGGCCCCGTGTGGCCGGCCAAGACAATAGGGGCTATTCTGGGCTGGTGGGGTATTTAAAGCTCCGACTGGCCTGGTCCCTGGGGAAAGAGAGGCCTTGCCCTCTGCAAGACCTTCCTGAAATTGTTGCTCCCCAGACTCGGGCGGCTGCGCCCCTGGCTGTTCCCAGCCTCTCCTGGCAGCCCTCCCCCAAGAAGCCCAGGGCTGCCTCCTCCTCCAGGAAGCCCACAGGCCACCTCCAGGTCCAGCAGCACCCTGCAGACCCTCCGGACGGAGAGTGGGCACCAGGGTCCCCTGGCTCCAGCGTTCTCGGCTGTGTGTCAGGACCCCAGGGTGTGTGAAGCGCTTCCCAGGCTTCCGTGGCGGGAGAGGAGGTGGCCCCAGCCACCGCCTGCGACGCTGGTGAGCGGGGACCCGCATTTTGTCTCACCGCTGCTCTTTTTCCAGCACCTGGCACACAGTAGGTGCCAAATAAATATTTACTGGTTGATCTAAGTATTTGTGGAATGTGTCCCGAACCCCCATGGAACCCCCATGGAACCGGCCCGGGCTCGGGCACACGGCGGGTCCCCTCTCCCTCTGACGATGGAGAGTTGATCCTTCACTTCATGGGCCCAACATCCCCAAGAGGCAGGAAGTCCCATTCCCCACGATTCGGAGCTTGCCCGAGGTCCTAAACTACTCAATGGTCAAGCTAGGAATCAGACTCAGGGACCCAGAAGCTTCTCTCATCCTGTATGAAACCTTGAAAAAGACCAGGGACAACTCTGGGCTGGGAGCCAGGAGCCTGAGTTTAGCTGTGTGACTCTAAGCAAGTCCCTTGGCCTCTCTGAATCTGTTTTCTCTCCTATAAAAACACAGCGTTCAGTCCTGGTCCTTCAGATCTTTCATAGGATCAAAGGAGCCAAAGGATGTGACCACGTCCTCCCTATAAGCGCCAACTCCTCCCCAGAGGCAGAGGCTGGGAACGATGGTGGGAAGAGGCGCAGGGAGGAGGAGGGGACCCAGAGCCACTCTGGAACAAAGCTCCGCAGCTGCCGACAAAGCCGGTGACAGTTCTGGGCCTGGCCCAAGGAGGGGGAGAAGGGGTGGCTGGAAGTCACCTCTGGCCCTCCTCAGGCACCCTGCCCTGCTGACAGCTGCTGGGGCCTCAGGCCAAGGGCCCCCGCAGGCAGGGGCAGGGGCTGGATGGGTCATCTCAGTCCCCCGGCTGCAGCCGCCACTCAAGCCCAGGAAGCAGCCTGGGCCCCGCCACAGCCCTTCACCCAGTTCCCTGGGAGCCTGGGCGGGGTGGAGGCTGGAGCAAAGGTCTGTGGACCAAACGTGCCCGACTCAAGCTGGACCTCGGGATCGCAGCAGGAGGGGGACGGCAGGCCTGAGGTCCCAGGGGACCCCTGTGGCTGACTCGGGGGCCTTGCTGGAGGCTGTGAACTTGGCCTGCCCGGCCACTCTCGGGTCCCAGCCGCTTCGGCCCACAGGCTCGCTCTCCCCTGAACTCTTGCACACCCGTAATTACGGCTGACCATATTTTCCAAAGCAAAACTCAAGAAATCTGTTGAGCCAGAGGTTTCTGGGCTACTTCCTGTGTCAGAGGCAGCCTGGGAGATGTAGTTTGGATGTAGAGGTTTTCAAATTTCTGGGGCATGTTAATTCTTTCTGGGGGAACACTACTATTTGTTGTATTTTACTAGTAAATCAACGTCATTGTAGGAAATGCGTGCCATTCCACACTGCGTGGACCTGGGCAACTTCTAGCTGTGTGAACCTGGGCAAATCACTTGACCTCTCTGAGCCTCTCTTTCCCTCAACCGTAAAATGGGAATAAAAACGACAGAAGACTGACAGAAAACAGAGGCTTGGTGTCCCGTACTTAGTAGGGATGAGCGTCACCTCTTCCCCTCTTTCCCATCCCCAGCTCATCACCAGGACAGTGAGCTCACTAGCACCCCCCAGAGAAAACAGTTCCTGCTCTGCCCCCTCCCTGGCTTGATAAGGCACAAGACTCACGCCCATGGAAGGTTCCGTCACGTTCCTACATCCTGAGCTCCCAGCTGGAAGGGACAACCTGCACCAGTACCCTCACTCATCAGAAGGGGAAACGGAGGCCCAGAGAGGGGAAGTAAGGACTCTGGGGGAGACCAGCCGGAGGTGGAGGGCAGAGGTTCCAATCCCGTCTCTGGGGCTGGGGATGTGGCTCCGTGGTGAAGCACTCGGCTGGTCTGCAGGAGGCCCCAGGCTCCAAGAAACCAACCAACAACCACACCAGCCTCTGACACCCCCATCTGCTGGGCCACGGTGACAGGGATGAGCGGCATCCTGTAAGCTTAGGACCCAGCAAGGACATGGCAGCCGCCCCAAGAGGACAGGAAGAAGAGCCCTGGGCCACTCAATGGAGGAGGCAGGCCCAGCCTCCTGACAGGGCCTTTCACCTCCAGGGTCACCTCCTTCCCCAGGCCAGGGCAGGGCACCACAGACGAGGGTTCTGGGAGGGCGACAGGACTCTGGGTCTTTGTGGGGGATACTGGGGGCCTGAGACCCCATCTCAAGCTCTGGGTGGACGGTGGCCCCTCCAGCCTGTCCTCCAACCCTAGACAGGCAGGTGGCCTAGGAGTGGGCGGCAAGGGCTGGCAAGTGGCGGGTGCCTGCTCTTGGCAGGGAGAATGCCCCATCCCGGGACTCGGGTTACCGGAAACGGTAAATCTCCCTGCTGCCTGTCACCTCGGACCAGGAATGTCTGCTGCCCAGGGGAACATCCTGTTCACCTGCCCGACAGCGACAGCCGGGGACAGCCAGGGACCTGGGACAGCCCTCTGCTCCCTGCCCTGCCCCTGGGGGCTGCTGGGGGCCCTGGGTCACCCAGGTAGGGGGCACCTGTGATTCCGGGGCAGGAAGCGCTGCAGTAAGGGACAACCACAGAAGGGGAGAAGGCTGGGGGAGGGGCAGAGAGATGGGGGACCACCTTGAAACCTGACCCCCTGGGCCCTGTCACCTGTGCACCACATGAAGGCTCTGACCTCGTGAACCCCACGCTGGAGGAGGCATAGAGTGAGCTCAGGAGCAGGACTGGCCGGGGGGCAGCCTGGCCCCGCCATGGCCAAGGTGCGCAGCGCTGGGCAACCCTCCAGCCCTCATCTCTGACCCAGGTGACAACAGGCCCTGCTGGGGACCCTGCGTCACTAAGCACGGCCTGGCAAGCTCCAGCAAGGGGAAGGGGAGAGAGCCAGGGGTCCCCACGGGCCACACAACGCTCTCCCCCTCGTGCGGCTGCCATTCACGTCGGAGCCAGGTGGACCCTAAGTCACGTGTCACCGGAGAGAGTGGGAAAAGCAAAAACCAGCAGGTGAGGGGACGGGAGCGGTGGGCAGGGGCGCTGCCTGGGAGGGCAAAGGACGGTGACGCTTAGAGGCACAAGAATGGAGGCAGGTCAGGCGAGGGTGGAGGCCACTCAGCACTCAGGCCAGCAGCTGCAAGGGGTCCTCAGTGCTGGGGAACCAGGCAGGAGCCGCTACCCAAGCATCGCGACCGCCCTGGGGCCGGGCAACTGGACCACAGTCCCTGGTGAGACAAACTTGCCCAAGGCCACAACAGGGAGGCCAGGACCCAGTGCTCCCCCTGACTGAGTGTCCAGGGACACTGTCCTCAGAGCTCCCTCAGGGAGGGCCGAAGGGGAGAGAAGCCCAGCAGGGTTCAAGTGCAGATTCTCCTTCCTCCCAAACTGGCCACGAGACCATCCTCGCTGGGCCTCCAGGTCCTCCCTTCATGGACCACAGGCCCATCCCATCCGCCTGTCAAGGAGGAGGCCGAAGGAAGGGGACAGAAGGCCTGGGTGCCGCATGGCCTGGGGCCTCTGGGCAGCTGAGACCAGCAGCTCCTCCTGCCTGGCCTCCAGGAGACCGCATCCTGCCTGTGTCCTCTGGGCCTTGCCCCACTCAGCACCCACGGCTCAGCCAGAGCCAGGGCACCCGGGTCACACTTGAAGATGTGCCCTTCAGCCCCGGGACTGGGCCCAGGCAGACCCCTGCGCTCCTGAGCAGGCAGAGGCCCACGAGCAGGCGCTGTTACCAGGGTGCCAGAGCGGGCCAGCCCTCGTGGGCAGCCGGCCAGACCCTGAGGCCCAGCCAAGTGCAAACAGCACGCTTGGCGCCCAGATACAGGCGCGTTGGAGCGGGCAGGCTGCCCGCTGCCCCGTCACAACAAACCATCATCTCTGCCCTGCCCAGGGGCCCAGGCGGAGGGCTGGAGCCGGGGGCTGGGGATGCCAGGGAGGCCTCTCTCCCTCCCGACGAGGAATGGGCCGTGGGACTGTCAGAGGCTGGACAGGGACCGTGCAGGCACCAGCAGCGGAGCGGGGACGCACATGGACCAGGCTGAGGGAAGTGGGAGGGAAAATAAGGGGGACTGGCGGGAGCCAGGTATGGGTATCTTAACATCTGTGGTGACATTAGGCAGGGGGAGACTGAGAGAAGAGCCAGGTGCTGCGTAGGAAGCAGGGTGGCTACCGTGGGGGGTCCCAGAGACTGGACAGCGTCCAGTAAGAAGCCCCAGCAGGTCCCATGGGGGCACACTGCACTTGACACACCGCAGTGCACTTGACACACGGAACCCTGGGCCGAGACAGAAACGTCCGCCCTGCGATAAGGAAGCCACTGGCCACAGGTGACACTCGGGACTCACAAAGCGAGGAGGAGTGAATTTCTAAAATGTTTTATGTGATCTTATTTCATTGTGTTTCACGTTTAAACAGTCACATGGGACTAGCGGCGGGTCCTGGACCATGTCGGTTACGCCATCACGGACCCCCAGGCTCAGCCTGCAGGTGCCACTGCCTCAGGCTACAGAGGAGGGGACAGGCCCGCCTGAGGCCACATGACTGCCCAGCCAAAGAGGACACTGGCACCAGGCCTGGCCCCTG